TACCATGAAATGGGAAACATTAACAACAACACAGATGCATTGGTTGAAAGACACGCAGAGGAAGACACGCAGCTGACATCAACTGGAAGCAGATGAAGGAAATCACAAGGGCACAAGTTGGCTCTGGTTTCCTGCCATAGCACCCCTCCAGAGCTCAATGGACTCCTGTTAAATTCTGATCACTCTACCATGGCTCTGAATGTCCACACCTAGCAGAACTAAAGAGATAAAGTGCTTAATAAATACCCACTTATGCAGTGAGTGAATTCTAAAGCGCTGTAAGCTTTGGAGGTAAGGCATAGTGGGGCACACAGATAAACAGTCCATGCTATTACAGATGATCGCTGGACCAGGCCAACTCATCCTCAACCCTAAGCAAATGGTCCCATTTTAAGAATTTAGACTCTTAGTGTGTTAGTTTCCTGTGGCTGCTCTACAAATGACCACAAACTCGGGAGATTAAAAGAAGGGTAACCTCTTCTGTCATGGTTCTAGAGGTCAGAAGTCTGAAATTAAAATCCCTTGCTGAAATTAAGATGTCAGCAGGACCACGCCCCCTCCACAGGCTTGAGGGGAGAATCTGTTCCTTGCCTCTCCCGGGTGTTGGTGGCTCCCTGCATTGTTTGGCTGTGGCTTCATCTCTCTCATCTTTAAGGCCAGCATCTTTTTTTTTCCCGGTACCAGGAATCGAACTCACGACCTTGCACTTGCCAGGCAGGCGCTGTGCTGCTGAGCTAAATCCCTAGCCCCTAAGGCCAGCATCTTTGTCTTCCTCTCTGCCACCCTTCTAGCAGGGCAGGCAATTGCATTTCAGGCCCACACACTCACACAGGTAGCCCAGGGTGCATGTGATTGCATTTACAGCCCACACAGGTAACCCAGGATTATCTCCCCATCCAAAAGATAACATTTACAGGTTTCAAATTATGCAGCCTACTATACCACCATACTAAGCATGACCAAAAGACCTGAGCAGGCACCAGTGAGTACAAGTCTCACAATGTCTCCGACACTGAGGAACTTGGGGCACATATCTGTTATTTCTGTGTAAGGCCTGCAATTGCACGTATAGTGCTTAACACACACGACATGGGTCTAAACATTTTGGGTTCAAATTAAAATCTGAGTTGCCCAACAGCCGCCAGAATAGAACAACTATCTAAACAGAGGAAAGTCTACACTATCCATGCTGAGAGGGCTAAAGGCCTAGTTTCTGTTTTTTATCACTTGAGTTTAGTTCTACAAACAACTCTTCCTTATTGTTAAGCACAGTCCAAGGGAAGAAATCCAGGGAGTTGGCAGTAGATTCACTGATGGGTCAAGGTGGGTATCAGCAGACTTGGGATGTTACCCTTTTTTTGTTGTTGTTCTTTTTGAGACAGGGTCTCTCTATGCAGTTCAGGCTGGCCTTGAGCTCACTTTGGAGCCCAGGCTGGTTTTGAACTCGCAATGATCCTCCTGCCTCAGCCTTCTGAGTGCTGGGATTACAGGTGTATGCCACCACGCCCAGCGTGTTGCCTTTTTATCTTTTTGTTTAAAAGTAATTTTTTAGCAGAGCATGGTGGCGTATGCCTGTAATCCCAGTACTTGGGAGGCTGAGGCAGAAGGATCAATGTGAGTCTGAGACCAGCATGGGCTACATAACCGAGTTAAAGGTCAGCCTGCAATACATAGTGAGACTTTGTCAGAAAAAAAGAAAAATTAAGGGCCAGAGACATAGCTCAGCAGCACAGCACCTGCCCGGCAAGTGTGAGGTCATGAGTTCTATTCCCGGTACTAAAAAAAAAAAAAAATTAAATCATGCTAATACTCTGCAGAGTCCTGGGTTCCTGTATTAGCAACACTACCTGAGGAGGGTGCAAGCTCCATGCATGGCTCGTTCCGCTTCGTGCCTACTCATCAGGCATCAAGTCGGCTGGTAAATCTTCCTACCGGCTCCCCCTCAGGCAGACAGCGCCAGCCCCACAGTGAGTGAAATTCTCGTACATGGCAACAGACGGGGTTACTAATGTCTGAGCAGTTTTCAAGCCAAAATTGTGTTCATACATATTTGGAAGTTATTTCTGGACTGGTTTTCTAGTAATACTGCCGAATCTATCTTCAGAATACAGGGTTGCGGGGGCTGGGGATTTAGCTCAGCGGCAAAACGCCTGCCTAGCAAGCGCAAGGTCATGAGTTCAGTTCCTGGTACCGGAGAAAAACCAAAAAAAAAAAAAAAAAAAAAAAAAGAATACAGGGTTGGAATATGGGGAAAGCAAATTACAAACTTGCGTTGGGCGCAAAATTTTGGGAGTACCCAAAAGTTCAGCTGTCAAAGTAACACTTTAATGAATATTTTAGAAATATTAAATCAAAGTAGCAAAATCAGGTTCACCACTTGATTTTGTCAATAGAATTTTATTGGAACTAGAAGCGGAACTAGGACATGGTAGTGTGGAAGAATCGTGTAGTGTTAGCTGCACCATGTCTTTAAAATACTTTTTGTTCATCCAACATTTTTTATATTACTTTGATTTGTAAATTGATTTTTTAATTAAAAATTATTTTAAACCCCATTTTTTCAATATGACTTTTCTTTTTTCCAAAATCAAACATTATACTATTGGGAAGAAACAAAAGTGCTTTATGCGGGGCTGGGGATTTAGCTCAGCGGCAAAAGTGCCTGCCTGGCAAGCGCAAGGTTGTGAGTTCAGTTTCCGGTACCGGAGAAAAACCAAAAAAAAAAAGCGCTTTATGCTTAGTTCCCAGTCTGTCTCAGGGAATATTTAAAAAGACTTACTCAAGAATTTGGATTCAGTAAGATTAGTAGTTTCTGGCCTTTCATCAAGGATACTGCTAAGCAAAATTGAGGTTTTCTCAGTTTTCTCACAGAAAAATAAATAGAATATTAATCCCTTCTTTATATGAGTATTATGAAGAGCACAGGACATAACCCAAGGAAAACACAGAACAACGTGTCTGAGAGAGGCAGTATCCAATACACCTATGCTATTAAAAATCTTTAAAAATACTTCTATATTAATTCACTGCTGCTTTCTTAGTCTGTCCCTGCCACTACAATAAAATATCTTAGACATGACAGTTTATAAACAATAGGAGTTGATTGTTTACAGTTCCAGAAGCTGTAAAATCCAAGAGCAAGGAACCCACAGGTTATCTGGGCTCTGGTCAGGGCTATTCCTCATGGGTGGCAGCTTCTAGCTGTGCCCTCCCATGGCAAAAGGGACAGACACCGCATTATCAAATGGGGGAAATTTCCCTCGAGCCCTTTTATAAGGGCACTAGTCCCATTCACAAAGGCTCTGCTTTCACGTTCTGGTCACCGTTTCAGAGCCCCATTTCTTAGTACCCACACATTTAAGATTAGAATTCAACACGAACTTTGCAGAGACAAAATATTCAAGCCACGGCAGCAGCATTCAATGACTTTTCCATCCATGTGTAATGATTACCCCATGGTCATGCCAGCGTTAGGTGTTCGGTAAGGATCAGTGTTAGGTGTTCCAGTAAGACTGGAAGCCTGCCTGAACTTGTCACTCATTCACGTGGCTTTGTTATGGTTCTCTCACCAACAATTCACTGAAAATTTGATGCTTAAATGAAAAAGTATATATAAATATGCAAATTATTAAGTAAAAACTGAAATGTTTATTATGTGGTAACATCATGCTTTATATTTACTTCAATCAATTTTTATTGTGGTTGAAAACATGTTTCAAAACCAAGGAATTATTCTTAATTAGTTAAAACTAGCAAAATATTTAAACAACCACCAGAGAAAACATACCCACCCCGTTTTTTGCTAATAGATCTCTGCAGAAGACAGAATAATACACTCCCAACCGTGGAAGACATCCACATTCCAACCCCCAGAACCTGTGGATATGGTACCTTACATGGCAAAAGGGATTTTGCCTATGATTACGTAAAGGACCTGAGACAAGGACCTTATCCTCACAGCCTATTATCATCACAAGGGTCCTTAAAAATGGAAGAGGGAGGCGCAAGTTAGGGAATGAGGTCATTTCAGACTGTGCAACACTCCTGGCTTTGATGACAACTAAAGGTCCCATGTGAAAGAACATAGGCAGCCTGCACAAGCTGTAAGGGGCCATGAAACAGATTCCCTAGGGCCCCCAGAAATGACTGCAGCCCTGTGACTCCTTGATTTTAGCCCACTCACACTCATGCGACTACTGCAGTGCAGAACTGTAAGAGGACAGACTTGGGCTGGGGATTTAGCTCAGCGGCACAGCACCTGCCTGGCAAGCACAAGGTCATGAGTTCAATTCCTGGTACCGGAAAAAAACCAAAAAAAAAAATAAAATAAAATAAACAAAAAAAGAGGATAGACTTGTGTTGTGTAAGCCACTAGTTTCTGGTAATTCAATACAGCTGCAACTAACACAGTCCCCAAGGCTGTCTAATCATACCTGGCATACCTCAGTGCCCAACACATTAAGTAGCTACATCACTAGGGTGGGCACTAATAACTGCCTGGCTTCTCTGAGGTTCCTAGAGCAGTTACTGGCCATTTCATTGCCATAAGAGAAGAGCTTTATCATTTATGATCATCTCCATCCCTGGGGATTTGGACTCCGGAGGCCCAGGGCCTGAGAATGCCCATGTTTAACTAGTCTCGCTGGGAACTCTATTAGAGACACCCAGCGGGCCACACTTTGAGAAACATCTACGTATAAGAAGCTTACAATATAAATGCTAAGTAAATGCAACTCCAATCTCTAATAGATAAAAATGCTGGTATCCTTCCAAAGACAAAGGTGGAGGTTGAAAACAACCTGAACGTGTAAAGTCTTTTGTATGCTACGTCAACAAAAACCAATTAGAGAACTACTAAAAAGTAGATGAGATCTATGTCTGCTCTTTCCTATGTGCAGGTGCTTCCAGGCTCTGAGCAGGTAAAACAGAACGCCAGCCGCCTCACACCTCTCATGGAAAGCTCCGTGCAGGGCATGTGGCAAGCCTCTGCCTGTCCCCACCTGTTTCCTGATGAGGTGGTGAGGAGCTGGCCCAGGGTGTGTCGTCTTCAAATTGAACCCAGTTGCTGATGGCCGAGGCCAGGTCAGGTGGGGGCTGCTCAGGGCTCCCAGGAGGAGAGGCAGATTCAGAGATGAGGCCCAGCTTTTCAGAGGAGTCATCTTGCTCGGAGTGGGAAAGGTCCCGAGAGCCTCCATCCACCGCCTGGTTCCCCACAGAAGAGCTCTCAGACTGGTCTGAGGAAGATGACAGCCCAGGGAGGTGTTCCTCAGCACCCCCTGAAACGGAGAGCAGACACCACTGTCACATGAGGAAGAGCATTCACCGAACTGTCTCTGAGAGGCAAAGGGTGACTTCAGCACTTGCCATTATCACGGAAGGACAGATGACACAGCCATGCCGGTCTGTCTCTACGGTCACAGACTGTTTCCCTCATAATATGTGAATCCAATGACCTCAGCACACCCCCAGTCAGTATCTGGGGTACAGGCTGTGAAAGGAGTCTTGGTCACTTTTTAAAAAGTTTTTTGATGGTACTGGGGATTGAATGTGGGACTTTCACACTGAGCTACACTTTTTACTTTGAGGCAGGGTCTCACTAAATTGCTAAATCGCCCAGGCTGAGCTTAAGCTTGCAACCCTCCTGCCTCAGCCTTTCAGAGTACTGGGATTGCAGTTGTGTGCCACTGTACCCAGCTTGGTCACTCTTTGGGTTGCAGCATCTACTCCAATGCTTGGGCAACACAAATGAAAAAGGCCTACAGAGCTCCAACAAGTGACAAACCTAAGCTGAGTGGGACAAAGAAAGGTGACAGAGACTGTAGAGATGGAGGTTGAACGGCTGAGCTTCTCTCCAGACTAAACACATGGAATTCCAATTCAAAACTCTACCTCAAATGCGTGAGAGTGTGCAAGCCCCAGACGCAAACTCTGCACTAATGACCAGCTCAGTGACCTAGAGGATTTTCCTGGGATATTTTATACCCCTAAAAAAAGGTGAAAGTAAAGGAACTATATACAGAATACAGTCTATACACATGCTCAAATTCATGAAATTATAATATGCAAAGTCAATTTTGCTATGTGAAAATTTTTAAAAAGCAAAGAACTAATATGAAAGTCCTTTTTCCTAGCACTAGCCAAAGAAACTGGTGACCTATATGTAATCAAAGCCTTTAGCCTAGTACTGTCTAAGAGAAATAAAAGGTGACCCACACATATAATTTAAAATTTTCTAATAGGCACATATGAAAAAGTAAAAATGATCAGGGTTGGTTTTTCTTTGGTGGTACCTGAGATAGAATCCAGGGCCTTGTGCATGCTAGTCAAGTGCTTTACCACTGAGCTACATCCCTATCCTTTTTTTTTTTTTTTTTTTTTAATTTTGAGATGGGATCTTGCTCTGTAGCCTAAGCTGGCATCCAAATTGTGATCCTCCTGTGTCAGTCTCCAGAACAGCTGGGATTACAGGTGTGCATCTCCACACCTGGCAGTTTTTTGGGGAGTAAGAAGATGGAACTCAGCACCTGCCATATGTATTCTACCACTAAGGTATATCTCCAGGATCAGCAACTATTTCTAATAATATGCATTTCTATACAATATGTTCTAAATTTATACTTTCAACATGCAATAAAAATAAAAATTGGTAAGATATTTAACTTTTAGCTTTTCAACTAGCTAAGTCTTTAAAATTCAGGATAAGTGTGTTACACTTTTAGCACTTAATTCAAATTTGCAGTATTTCAAGGGATCACTGGTCATACAGACACTGTCCTGGATGGAGTATCTGTAGACTCACACTTTCCAAGTGCTGCAAGTGAAGGCGGGATGATTTCACATGGCACTGGCAGGTGAGGTAGAACAGAATGAAATGACACAGCTCTGCAAGATTTCCTGGACCCTCCCCTAACCTTCAGTCTTGAACCTTAGTTCCTAAGAAGCACTATAACCACCTTTACTGTGCTCAAGGATGACAGTATTGAGTTCTTTCCACAGGCCAGGCACTGTTCTAAGTACTTTATATATGTTAATTCATTTAATCCGCACAAAGACTCCTGAGGTAGGTACCACAATGACTGTACAGATAATGGAACTATCCGCAGAGACAGTAAATAATAATTTTTCCAAGGGCACACCATTCATCTGTGATGAGGTCAGGATCTCAGCTCAAGCAATATGGCACCAGAGCCCGCCACAGAGCCTGCCACTGTAACAATACACTTTAAAAACAGAGAAAGCCCAAATTGCTGGTAGGATGTAACCATAAGAAAGGTTGCCAGTGAAGCACTTCATAAATATCGTTTTATTCCTTGGAAGGAAAGAACCAAGACTTTGGTGTTTCTAGGCCTGGTTTTAGGGTCCTAAGGTTACCAAGATGCTTCCTCTGGGTTTCTACGTGGAAGAAGTCATAAATATCAGGGACGTGACCAAACTGGATCTTTTTCCTTTATTAAGATCTTATTCAAAGAATGATCAGGCAGAATCCATAATAACAAACAGGCAAGGTTCTTCACTAATCTTGTCCTTTTAGGAAATAAAAGCACTCCTTACCCTCAGAAAGGACAGGAAAGAGTGTCTCTTCATTGAAGGAGACCCACTCTGACTGATGGGTAGCGATCACATGGTCCAAGGTCGTCATGCTAAGAAAGCGCTGATCATCTTCACACGGCTGACCTCAGATGGACCCCAGAACCATGTCTGGGGTGGAGGAGCCTTGCCAGTACTCAGAATGGAGACAGATTAGTCCTTCTTGCATTTGATTGCTCTGCCAAGCAGAAATCTGTTTAAAAAAATTTAAAAGGATTATCATCACATTATACCAAACCCACACAGGTCCAGGGCTTTTAGTTCTGCCTGCAGAGAAGTCTGGGGTGGTTTTCAACTTGGCGTCTCTCTCCCTGCTCCTGCCTAGTCTCTCCTTTTTACCTGAAACATTTGCCGCCAGCACCACAATGTCTGGATCAGCCTTCCCAGCAGACTTGTAATTAATCACCTGAATTCCAGCACTTAGGTTCCCTGATTTCCTCAATAATTATATTTTGAAATACTGTTACCTATAATATAGGACTATATTAGATTACATTGTGAAGCAAATACTAAAATTTTTCTCTTTTTCTTTTACCAGTTGGTAAAATAGAAGTGTGGTCTTTTCCATTAAATTGGTGTGGTTTCTTGCCTTAGACAGGTAGCTTTTTGCGAGCCTGATTTAAATCTTTGGCAGAAACCCAACAATCTCCAGATGGTCTCCCCAAGCATGGTTTACCAATCAAGAAAAATAGAAATGGAGTCATCTCGTTCATTTAGAGTAAGAGGATGGGGAATATTTGCTTTAATGAAATATGTGAATTAAACACATTTTCAATCTAGACCAATCAGAATTAGTAAATGCATGTCAAGCCTTTACTTATAATGTAATCATGTTCTACGTATATAGAAGAATTCTTATTTGGCTTATAATTTTGTTTATGCTATTAATGTCTTTTATACAATTTCAAACTAGCCCTTGATGTTATGATGAATTAATAAAATCAGAATTAATGCAAAATTAATGTACTTCCATAAAAGAGCCACTAACCACCTTGAATAATACCAGTGCTTATTAGCTGAATACTCATAATACGCAGATAGTTTCTAGAATGACTTAACTCTTAGCCTTCCAGTTGGCATACAATAACAAGAAAAATAGGACATTTTACTATAAGATATTATTTTCACTACATAATATATACTGGGAAAAATCAGCATATAAACATTTAACAGCTTTTGCTCTTCTTGGTGATTAAAGGAATTACTTTTGTTTTATAGCTCCTAAAACAACTAATGTTTATAGAAAATTCATAATTTTCAGAAATATTTTCATACCATCTTTCATTTGATTCAATATCCAATACCTGAAAAGTTCAGGTGGTACTATCATTCTTTACTAGGTGAAAAAATCTGGGCAGAGAGAACTTAAGTGGTGCCATAAGATCATTTGGTGCCCTCGGACTGCTAAAATGCTCTCAGGCTAAGTGGAAGGATACACAAACCTCAGAGCAGTGACACACTGACCCTTTCCATAATAAAGTCCCACATAAAGATTGATCAAACAGAAGCCACACAAGCAGGTGTGCTAGATACACCAGGCTAGGAAGTAAAAGATCCAATCCCTGAAGCCAGCTCTGCCAATGCCAAAATATTCTAACTTTTGAGTTACAGCTATAAAAAGTATTAGAGGATAGACAGACAGACAGACAGATAGATGATTTATAAACATCAATCACAATGAAAGTACAACAGAATGCCCTGGGAAACTCCAGATACCCTATTCATACAGAGGATGAAACGTCTGAAAAGCTCTCCTCCGAGGCCCTCTCCAGAGATCCTCAGCAACTACAGGACAGGACATGTTCAAACGGCCTGGAGAATGCAGGTGTCCCAGCCCAGATCTTACCAGAGAGCAACGCAGGGCCCACACGCTCTGAGAGCTGATTCTGGTCGCTTCTGCTTACAGAGCCTTTCTCAAGCCCTGTCACCCTCTGTGTCACTCAGTGTGGTCATGGCTGTGGGCCAGGATAACACAACAAAATTGAAGAGTCAGATTCCTCTTCTCTCAACAGCAGCGCACGTAAACCCACACTCCCACCCTGACCTCAAAAGAAAGCCACAGTGCAGTCGTGTGCTGACACATGCAGTGTCACAGCTCAATGGGGAAAACATCCTGCTGCTCCCGTGATGAAGCCAGCGAAATCCATAGTAAGTGGGTGGGGGAGGGGAGAAAAAAGGGAACTGTAAAGGGGATGAGAAAATACGCAGAAATTTTAGAATGAGAGCATTTTAAAGATGAATAGTGCAGTTCCTAAGCTTTGCTATGATAAACCTGAGGCCCAAGGAAATCAAGTACAGCAACAGAACCTGAGAACATGGGCTTAGAAGACAGATCGTCCAGGCTGGAATCCTGTACATTCTTGGACCCATAATTCAAACTCTGTAAGCTTCAGCTCACCCTTGTACAACAAGAATAATAAAACTCACCTTATAATTCTTAGGATTAAATGAGATAATATATGCCAAGTGCTCAGGGCTGAGCATAAGCCATCTGTCACAATGACAATGATAATAATGGCAGATGAGCTTATGGAGGCTCACTGTGCACCAGATCTCATTCCAAATTCCTTGTAAATGTTAGCCAGTGTTACCACTGCTGCTTTGCTGAATAGCTCACCTAACGTTGCAGATCTTATTAATAGCAGTCTTAGAACTAGAGTGAAGATTTCATGAAGTCACCCTACGTCGTTTACACATTCTGGTTTTCAGCCATCGTTAAAGCAGGTCTCCTAGAGGCTAGGTAAAGTTCAGCTACAGGATGTAGAAGGTCAATTCAAAAATACTCTGCATTAGTTACTTTTCTCATTGCTGAGACAAAATACCTGACACCCAAAATTCAAGGAGGAGAGGTTTATTTAGCTCACAGTTTGTAGAGGTTTCAGTCCATAATTGGCTGGCTCCAAGGCAGGGTGACACATGGCAGAGGGGCAACCGTTTATGGTGGTGGGAGACAGCAAAAGCAACAAGGAATCTTAACAGCATCTTTCTGCTCCTTTTATACTCTATCTAGGTTACTGGCACTAGGGCGATGCCAAACCAATCAGTGGGCTGATGCAGTAATCACACACCCTTAATCCCAGCATCACATACTCTTAGATTCAGCCACCTTTGAAAAAGTCTCATTTAAGACTGCATCAGGCTTTGGGGGACATGTAGACATGAGACATAACATACTCTCTCTTCACAGATATAGGCATACTCTACAGGAACTTTCTTTTTTTTTGACCAGGAATCAAACTCAGGACCTTGCTCTCACCAAGCAAGGCACTGTACCGCTGAGCTATATCCCCAGCTATATAGGCATATTCTAGGTGAGTAACCAAGATAGATCAGAAAAGTATGAAAGGAGCCAGACACAGTGGCACACACCTGTAATCCCAGCACTCAGAAGGCTGAGGCAGGAGGATCAGTGCAAGTTCAAGGCAAGCCCAGGCTACACAGTGAGTTCAAGGCCAGTCTGGACTACAGAGTGAGACCCTGTCTCAAAAAAATGAAAAAAAAAAAAAAAAAAACAGGCTACACAGTGAGTTCAAGGCCAGTCTGGACTACAGAGTGAGACCCTGTCTCAAAAAAATGAAAAAAAAAAAAGAAGAAGAAAGAAGAAGAAAGAAAGAAAAGTATTAAAGAAGCTGGGCATACATCTATAATCCCAGCATTCCTAGAGATTGAGGTACACGGATTGCAAATTTGAGCCTAGCCTAGGCAATTTAGTGACTTAGTGTGACTGTCTCAAAATTTAAAAATAAATAAATAAAAAGGGCTGAGAGTGTAGTTCACTCCAAAGGTTCTGGGTTTAAACCCCAATGCTGGAGGAAGGGGAGGGGAGGGAGGGAGGGAGGAAGGAAGAGAGGAAGAGAGGAAGGAAGGGAGGAAAGGAAAAAGGGAAAAAGGGAAGAAGGGAGGGAAGGAGGGAAGGAGGAAGGGAAGAAGGAAGGAAGAAAAGAAAGAAGGAAGGGAGGGGGGAGGGAGGGAAAGAAAAAGAGAGTGTCTTAGTTACTTTTCTCTTGTTGCTGAGACAAAATATCTGACACTCAAAATGAAGGAAGGAAAGGTTTATGTAGCTCACAGTTTGTGGAGGTTTCAGTCCATACTTGGCTGGCTCCAAGGCAGGGTGGCACAGGGCAGAGGGCAACAGTTCATGGCAGCAGAAGGCAGCAAAAGCAATAAGAGCATTGCAAACTACCCGCCCCAGGGGCAGGTGCAGCACTCACACTCATAATCTTAGCATTGGACCACGAATCAATCATACACTCTAGAAGCCCGCCCCATGACTGCATGAGGCTTTGGGGGGACATTCAGACACAAATCCTAACAGAGAGAGACAGAGACGGGGGGCGGGGGGGG